GCTGACGCGACTGTACATGTCGTTGGCAAGTTCGGCGATGAGAGACGCGCTGAAGGCGGCGCTGTTGCCTATAGTAATACGGAAGTCGAGTGACAAGACAGCGTAGTGCTTCCACCGAGCCCCCCTGGGCGGCTGTATGTACGGCTTGATTGCCTTCAGCATCACGTGGGCGCCAACTTGCACCGTGGGCCAAAAGTAGGTCAATACAGGCTAAATGGCCTTTTTGACAGGCCAACTGAAGTGCTGTAGAGCCCGCAAAGGAGGCGTTTATCTAGAGGCAAAAGTGAAGAGAAAAGTTGTGAAATGAGGATGGAAGCAAAATAAGATGCAAGAGAGAGCTGCGCTATATTGAAATTAGTGAAAAATTTAATGATCCATAACATGAAAAGAGAAGTACTGACGCCTGGCGAAATTAGCCTCGAACTAATTTATTTGCTATCCTTAAGCGAATATTGTATATCGCTAATCTAATTTTCCTTTAAGCTATATATTCACCCAATTTCGCTCTACTCATATCATTGTGGGAAAATTCTACTATCAGTCCTTCATCATCTCAAACGAAATTGGGTGAATACATCTCACTTTACTGATTTACTGGTAGTCTCGAAACTATACTTAAATAGGAAAAATAATTTTCATTTTGTACGAAAGTGCAAGGTGAAGAGAGTCTTAATTCGATACTATCAATGAATGACAACAACTTCTTTATGACTTGCTGCTTTTTTCTGACACGTATGGCCGAATGCATTCCATAAAATACCCTCTTTAATTGACATGAAAACGTGCTGAACTTACGCCTGTCACATAAAAGTCATCATATGGGCAAAATTTTGATGTTGACGCGAAAAAAGCATTAAATGATCTACATAGAATTTGTATAACCCTATTTTCGCAACTTGGTCATATTGGCAGGAAGAGCTAGAGGGACAAACCTTGTCCGAAGTCCATAATATGCATGATAACTTCCATAGTCGGACCGTGGACTTGGTACATTCCCAAGGCCCTTTGCTGGCATTGTAATAGGCATTGTCAGTGAGCCTTGCCATTCGTAGCACCACACTACAACTCGTCAGAAAGACAAGTAAAGTCAATCCTTTAACCAATCGTCTGCTAAATAGTTGTGGTATCTCTTCTTCTGTCTTGGGGTGATCCCCTATCCTATGTCCTCGTACCATCCATTCAATATCACAATTTCTTACTTATTTATCTATACCTATTTGAAACCTATTCACAAACCCCGCTGGTTTCCACATCCAGCAGTATCTGCAACAAAGAGTTCTTATAAGATACCTGGACGACTACTTAGCACTTTGCATGCATGGTAAGAAAAATTTGGATGAGTTCCTCAACTTTATGAACCAGCTTGATGGAAGAATTAAGTTCACAATGGAAGTAGAGGAGGATAAACGACTACCATTCCTGGATGTAAAGGTCATTCGCTCCAACGGAATACTCAAGAGGAGACTATTCAGAAGTAAATAATATGCGGGAATAATCCTCAATTTCCGGTCTCATCACAACTGCAGACTAAAGGTCGGAATAATGAAGAGTATGGTCATCCTACGCTTAAGATTAACGGGCACTGAGTTGTGGAGTGAAGAGTTGGAAAAACTGACTTGGATTTGTCTTAATAATGTGTACCCCAGAGAATTTACGGAAAGAAATATAGGAGTCATAAAGAGCAGATTTAAACTCCTATTTTATGGAAATAGGATCAGAAATCAGGACGACAAAAAGTAGATATGCCTGTCTTTCTGTGAACTAAGCCAGAAATTGCGACCGTTGCAAAGAAAATGGAATATCAAGGTGATGACAAAAGAAAAGACAATAATCTTCACAAGTCTGCCGACACAACACGAGAAGCTTGTCAAACTCAGGATCTCAGCTGGCCATCTTTCTTGCTTTAGGTAGTGAATAATCGTTTCTGGCTCTGACGATGTCCGTCACATGGCGGACAAAAGCTCAGCACGAAATTATCGGGATGAGCCGAGGTATTCTTCGCACAATTCAACAGGCAAAGGTTCAAGGCAATTCTCCTGTGCTATCTGGTGAGGCAAATCTACGAATCCCTTCGACCCGCCTTATCAAACGAAATGAAATGTAGGCCAGTAACTAATGAACAGGAGACTTTAAAGAGGCAGGATTAGCAAAAACTTTGCATACTACCTAAGCAAACTCGGAGATCAGGGAATAGGAATATCAGCAAAAAGAAGACGACTGAATGAAGATAACATCTTTACTTTTAGGAAAAGAAATCGCGAGGAGACTACAGAAGAACAAACGGAAATCAAGAGGAGACGTCTAAAATGAGCCTATTTAAATCAAGTCGAATTGTCTCATTTGGGTTCGGCACAAAGAGGCTTGAGCAAAAGAAAGTCCTAGAGTTGGAATTATGGAAAGAAGAGCAGGAGATGCGGTGGAAACAATTGATAATTGGCTATTAGTAGAGAAGTTTGGTCATAGACGTGGTTCATAAAGTAATGACTTGACCACAAGATTTACTCGGTGCACATGCAACAAGGTTACCATACCAATTGAGAATCCAGAATTTAGGGGCTTGCTCAATGAGGCTGGTGTATGTGTGCTATCAAAAACTTGATTCAGAGTGTAGAACATAGTGCCTTGATTAGCACGGATAGGGTGGCAGCGATGGAGTGAAATAACTGAAAGAAGCAGATAAGAGAAGGATCCTACGGAGTAAGAGGAGAATTCTGATAGGACCGGAAGGGAGAGAATTGCGGACTAAGCCTAAGCCTTGGATCAACACTCCTGGCGCAGTGGGGGGGATGTGGAAGCCAGGGGGCAGTGTGAATAGGTTTCAAATAGTTTTAGATAAACAAGTAAGAAATTGTTGTATTGAAGGAGTGACACGATGATATAGGGTAGGTGTAGCCCAGAACAGAAGGAGAGAAACCAAAAATGCTTAACAGACAATTTATCAGTTGCATTTTTGTGCTAAGAGTGTCAAAGCTCACTGATGATGCCGGCTAAACGTCTACAAATGTACCAAGTCCACGACTCGACTATGGAAATTATCATGCATACTATGGACTCCAGGCCAGGTGTGTCCCTTTAGATCTTCCTGCCAATATGACCAAGTTGCGAAAACAAGGTCAAACAACTTTTATAGAATGAAAGGAGACTGCGACCATACAAAAGGCCGCACCATCCTGGCCATCCTACCTTCGATAAAATGATTTGGTTAGTTTTTTTTCATGCCCTACTGAGCATTCGTATGGATAAGTTTAAGCTCTCCGGTGGTTATTTTAAGTAATTTTAGCAAACCTAACATCTTTTCTAGGAAGGTATAGAGTTTATAATCTTGATTGATGTGTTGATACGCTTTGTTTATGGAATCAGATACATTTAATGTAAGCGAATACGAGAAGCATAAAAGTGATTTGACAATTGAATAGCCCTTTTTGTAGTTGACCAAATTTCTTCTTTTATACATGCCTATCAATCAAATGCGAATAATACAATCTAAACTTTATATCCCAGAGCCTCCAACTACAAATTAATTTAAGAGCTAACAAGTTGGTATTAATAGCCTCTCTTGATTTGCTGTTATTCGCAAATCCATGAGTTTGGAGCTACCCTATGTCATTCAAACCTGAAGAGCTGTGCCAAGTAAAATACGATGGAATGGCACATTTCTAACAGAACTTATGGGATACAAGGAACTAGCAGTTTTACCAACCTTATGCAGCCTAGTTAGAGTGAATCGTAAAGTTTCTAAAGAAGTTTAAAAAGCAGCTAGATAAATTCTTTTTTTAAAGATGGGCATTATTAAACAAATAAAATCGAAACAAAAGTGTATTGCTGGGCTACACGGCTACTTTTTGTATGGTCTTATAGATGGAAAGTAAATTTTAAAGGGGGCATCTGAATAAGTCAAGAATAATTTTTATATATTTTATATAGATACGTCAAAAATGAACGTTTTTGACCGCCGTTTAGAGAGTGATGAATGAAAATAAGGACAGTCAAATCAATTAACCTTGGCATATAATATGATTATAATAAATAAGCTATGCAAAGTTAATTTAGAAATGATTAAAGGAAACTGAAGAAATATAGATGCATCCCTAATTTGAGTCAATTTAGTAATAGTTCATAATTGTTAGATTCCGAATAGGGCTCATTAGCATCATATTAATGAAAACTTATCTCCTTTGCATAAATAATAAAAAATTATTTTAATTAATGAAGATGATCGAGAGCTAAACCTTTCAGGGGTATGACTTATCACCAAGACGTTATCTGAAGGTGCTATTTATGTACAAAGTGCATATTTAGTCAGACCAAGATTGAAACACATGAAATTTATTTGTTATGAATGATTATAATCGGAATATAAAAATTAATAGCCTGTACTTTTCCATTGCCGGTGGGAACAATAACCACAGCAGCATAATCTTGGTGAACTAGGGAACTCATAAAATCTTCAAAACGTGACATTTCTAGCCACTTATAAAAGAGTGCTATACAGTGATGTCGTTGTAAAACTATAAAAAGTTGATTACCACTAAGAAAAGTAATGAAAAAAATGAGGATGCCAGCTTTATACTCGAAAGCTGTGAGATTTGGGAAATAAGAAAAGAAGAGGATTCTGGTAGATAAAGGCATTAATCAAATTAGGGATAGAAGGAGAGTGCCTAAAATCAGCCACTTGCAATAATGCAGAAAAAGAGAATGGAAGCGAAATTGGCTGTGTATGAGTCCACAAATAAAAGTGGATTGAGAATCCTTATAAAATTACAATAATTTATAGAAGAGGGAGAATTTCAATAGCATTTGATAAAAGGATTGGCATGCTAT